TGTTTAATATAATAAGTACTTTATATCATAATAAACATTTTTTGAAAATAATCACTTATTTTTTGCCTCAGAATGTTCATGGTTCGTCTTAGGCATTCCTCAGTAATTTTATTCAAAGTATCCATAAAATTTTCAGAAACATTCTTCTGAATCAGAAAATCTTGAAATTGTGATGTTAATAACTACATCGTTGGATAACTAATAATATGTGTGTTACCTTTGGATTGTATAGAGAGCGGCTAAAACTTCAGCTCTTAAAGATGCTATTATATTAACTTCTTCTTCATCGTGTTCTTCACCTTCTTCTTTTTCTTCGGTTTCTTGGTCTATATTCACTACTGCTAAGTCTATGTCTACTGTTTCTGTAGTCCTTATCGCACCATCAACTCTGACGTAATCAATAAAACTAACCTGTATCAGTTGAACTGACAAGGTTTGTTGATAATTTTTACATTCTACATCAGCAAATTCAGCCTATCAATGAGTAAAGCATATAAGTAAAAAGCTACTGACGAGCTACATCACGAATCAACGCCCTTATCGCTTGTAAAATATTCCATTTTGGCTTTTCTTGGTTTGATTCTATTGCCAAAATTGCTGCTCTAACAAGTCGTGCACGATATCGTTTCTGCATAGCTGCAATTATGCCTTGATCAAGAGGTTGAAGTGCACTTGTTGTGTTAACCGGAAAATAAACGACGTTAACATTGCGCAAATTAAATCCCATAACGTTATGTGCTGAACAGTTGTCCATTGTTAACAACACTTTTCTGTTTAGAGCTGCCATGTTGCATTGAAAACGAAGAAGCTATTCTCGAAATGCTATAGAAGTCACCCAGACATTTTTCTGAGCGGTATAATGGCATGGCAAATGGGAACGATGGAATTTATTTAAACATCTTGGGTTTTTTGATTTTCCTACTATCCATAGTTTTAATTTTTCATTTCCGTCAGCATTGCAGCATAAAACTGCTGTTATTCTTTCTTTGCTTTTAGTGCCCCCATAACATTTTTTGAATTTAAAATCCAAAGTACGGTTTGACATTAGATTAAAAAAAAATACCAGTCTCACCAATATTAAAAAGTCTTGGCTTCAACCCGAAACATTCGCGAAGCAAGTAAGTCTGAACTCGTCCACTTCCAAAGCTAACCACTAAAAACTAGCTGGAATATGATCTAGACTGAATAGAAAGGAAAATTTTCGTGTTCGCAATTACGATAATAGTTTGCATTGAAATTATATTCTACGGGTGAAATAATTGTTCATAATAATGAAATTTCGTTATAATGAAAAAAGTGCCATATAACTTGTGTTGAAGACATTAAATTTGTGGCATAATTTTGGTTCGCAATAACGACAATTTCGTTACATCGGTGTTCGCTATATAAGGTTTACTGTAAAATCACCCAGGATAAGGACAGGATAATTTAAAACTATATGTTCTAAGGCGTGCAAGAAACATAGTAAATCAGGTTGCGGATTATCAGACCACCACGATATATCGTCGGCCTAATCTGCAAAACCCGTAAGTCCACTTTTAGTCTCAATGGACATTTTAGTGGCATCTATTGAGGAAAAGATTTGTGACTTACGGGTTTTGCAGATTAGGCCGACAATATAAGGTCACTGATCATAAAAAGCATTTGCAAATCAACACATCGACAAGTGGTACTAAAGACTGAATATCTGTAGAATCAACCAGAGTTTATGAAAAGTTTTAGTATAAAAGTTGTAACAAACCGTATTTTTAGCAATATTGGTCTTTTACCCATTACTGAACTTATTATTCAGCCTTTCCGCTGTGGTACGAGGAAAATTATCAGATCATAATTCTTTTAAGCTTATTTTTCGTAATATGCGAAATTTGAAATCTCGTAATAAATAAATTTAAGAAAATCTCTGTCTCGTGGAAACGTCTCCAATTATTAAGATGGATACGGTTGACATAAAACCATTACAGAACGTTAAGTACCTAGGAATGAACATCGATTCCAAATTAAACATGATTACACACTACAGGAAGGTATAGGCGGAAATGTCTAAACGGGCGAAATATTTTAGATCTCTAAGTTATAAAGACAAAGGTATAAACACGAAGACAGCGATGCAAATATATAAGAGCATATGTACACCATTGATCGAATTTGGCAATATTGTATCAATGAATCCATCCAGAAAAACGGGAGACATAATTGACAAAGCGGAAAGAAAATGCTTGAGGATTATCTCTAAGATTAGACACCCAACCAACCCATTACACAACGTAAGAAACAAGACCTTATACGAAATGACTGGTATTGAACCTATAAGACTAAAACGACAGTCATCCAACGACAGTCTCTTCTTCTCTTTCCGCCAATGTGGTTGTTTTGTAACACCGAACACATTAAATAGATTTCTGATTTTTCTCCAATTTTTGATGACCATCAGTCTCTAAATGTAAGTTTTTCTAAGCTTTTTCATATCATTTTATATTAATTTATATATATTTTTTTAGTGTTTCACAATTTTATAACAATCCACGTTTCGCACTTTTGTAACTTTAACTAAGATTTTAATTTCCATCGTTCAATTTAACTTAACTTTTATAACAACTTAAATTTTTTTTTACGATTCGACTTTAAAAAATATTTTCTTTAACAACAAATGTCATCATTAAATAAATCTCTTCTCGCCTATTAGTTTCCCTGCCAGTAAGTTGTTGTCCTATTTTAATATTAGTTTTTGTTTTTAATTATTTTTTAATTCTTATTAGCTTTCGGCTGATAATGGAACGTTGATTCCGAAAGCGGTTCCGATTTATATATTACAATAAAGCAAGTTAGAAGTTTTTATCTGTTTTTGAAATTTTTCTATAAGACTAAGACTAGACAGACTACGGAAGAAATTTTTAGACAACAGAAACAATTATGAAAAAATACATAAATTATGTTTAAAGAGACAAGCTGCACAGATGGAAGTTGATCAGAGGAAGACAATATCCGAACTTTTTTCATAAATACTTAGCTGATAATGAATAATAATAGTGTTAAAATTTTTTGTTGTAATTATAGCCAGCGGAAAGACCATTAGGTCGATAGCTGTAATAAAGATTTATTTTTCTCTCTCTCTCTGTCTCGAATGATCGTACTCTTTTCCAGGTTGATCTTTATAGGAAAGCGAAGACTGAATTAAAAACAAGAATAGAGTCTGGCGAAAAGGGTTTGGTATTAAAGTACATCCGTGGCATTCCCTCAATTGTCAAGGCTTCGGAAAACTGATTTTGCCCAACAAAATGTATCAATCTGTTAATTTATACAGCGTGTCCCGTATCTTCCGCATCAGAGCATTATACGGTTGTAGAATACATTATTCTGAAGCGATCTTTCTAATAAAATTTTTTCGAAATGTTTATAATAACCGCACGCGAACTGTTTAACGACGACCAATAACGGACGACTTTGATTCATCGAAAAAGATTATTTCTCTTTCCATGACGAATCTATTGGTGAATACACGTGGGAAACGAGTTATCATCGGCGTAGCGAACCGGCCGAGGGTGGCACCGATTACTTGAGTCTGATTTGCGATCTGGTGATTGGACGAAAAACAGTTCCTTTAAACAGTTCCCGTGCGGTTATTATAAACATTTCGAAAAAATTTTATTAGAAAGATCGCTTCAGAATAATGTATCCTACAACCGTATAATGCTCTGATGCGGAAGATACGGGACACGCTGTATTATCAAAATGTTAATGGTCTTCGTACAAAAACGCGCGAATTTTATGTTAATTGTTCTGATTGTACCTATGATTTGATTGCTCTATCGAAACCTAATTTAAATTCGGATTTTATATCTAATGAATTAATCGTGGATAAGTACAGCGTCATACGAGCTGATCGTAAGTTTGATTTGGTTGGACATAACAGAGGTGGAGGAGTTCTGCTTGCTATAGCTACTCATCATGATGTTGAACTAGTCGATTCTTCAGATATTCAGTCTTTAGTACCACTTGTCGATGTGTTGATTTGCAAATGCTCTTTATGGTCAGTGACCTTATATATCGTGGTGTTGTACAGGGCCAGCCAAACTCGACGCCCCACCTCTTTTATGGGAAACAGGTAAATTTTTCGAAAAAAAAATGGAGACCATTTTAAATAGTATCTTCTCAGCTTTAAGAAATATCAAGCGTTACAAATTTTGGACAACGACGAAATAGGACGGCTATATATCCGGACACCTGTATATTTTTCGAAAGCTTGGTCCAATTAAAGGAGGTTTTTTGATTCGTTTCCTTTTTTTGGTTGATTTCCCAAGAATTAAACTTAATTCTATAGAATGTTCTATAGAACAGTCTAAGATATAACCAGAATTTCACTTATCTGAATCTACCTTTTCAACCTCAATTACAAAACGAATTTAAACAAAACCTAATTAAACATAATATCAATGTTGCTTTTAGTAACAATAATAAAATCAATCAATTATTTATAAATAATAAACATAAATTTAAACAGAATGAAAGGAGTGATATTTATAAGCTAAAATGTAGTGAGTGTTGGACTTCTGTCTTCTATAAACACCTTAGTGAAAAGGGTCACAAACCCAGTGAGCTTGACATCAACATCATCAAAAACCTTAAAAAATCAAAGCTGTTGGATTTTTATGATGAATATTATATTGGTCTATATAAGAGAAGTCTTATATATCTATATTGGTCTATATTGGTCATTTCCACTCTCAATATTGGCAAAGGATTAACCTTCCAAATGAGATATTATTCGTCAAAATCGATTGGGATCTCTTATTATAATCAAAACGTTAAAACAGAGATTTTTTTATTTTTCGTCTACATTGTTTTTACAAAAACCATCGGTTTGTTTCAAAGATTTAAAGTGTTCCTTTTAATTTGTTTTAGTGTTTCTTGAAACACTAAAAACCCCATTTTACTTCTACTTTAAGTACGGGGTTAATTCCGGTAGGGTTTTTAACACTAACCGTAAAGATAGTGGTACTTACATTGCTCCGACGTAGAGGGCGTCCCTCTTAGTATCCAAATAGAAAGTTCTGTAGTAGAACATCCCGCAAGCGAACTCTCGTACGTGATCTGTAAGTAAGAAAAGAAATAAATAAGTACAACAATGTTCGTCAACAAGATGCTTTTAGTCCAAGTTCTATTTATAGTTAAACCTTGTGTTTAAATCAGGGATAATTGTAAAGCACAAAGTCGATTCGGGGTATGATTGCAGGTTTAGACTAGTGACATACGTCATCATGACTAAATTACATCCCTTCGCAATGACCATATTCGTGCTACATTGCAACTATATGCTTGGATTGCGACGTCGTCGTCGTCGTCAATGGCCGTTGCGTTCAAGACCTGTATTTAGCCGATCGAACACTGAGGCTTATCCGAAGGGCAAATGCACCGATATTATGCATGCCAAGAGCCTTATTACCGCAAATTACATATTTCCCTGTTATCTAGGGTAAACAGGTACGGGATTGTGTATGCGCGTGTGTATAGAACCTGTGTGTAGAACGGGAGCGTCTCGAAAAAGGGGCCGATTCGCAACGAGACCACATTTGCAATTTTATAGCTTTAAGTATTACTTTATACACGGTGTTATTTGCAACTTAATTCTATGGGGAAATAAAAAAAAAATCGTTGAGACGTTAATCGAAACATCACCACAAAGTGAAACCACCGGCAATGTGTGGTGACCAGTTTTAGTACCTCGGGGCTCCTTATCGGTCGTTTCCAGGTCGGCGGATTTGAAAACTAGCGTCCGTCAAACGGTGACATCCCCTCACGTCCCCGACTGGTTGAGCTCGAAGGAACGCACCTTTTCCTAAAAGGGATCCCCCTCTGTACGAACGCAAACCGCCCCCTTGGTGACAACCTCGTAAAGTAGATCCGTGGGAGAAACGGTCGAGCTGCAATATTAAAGGCCGAAAGCCGGTCCCAAAAACGATATTCCTTGTTTACGAAATGGGCAGAGGGCCGGGACAAATCAATCGGAAATATCTGAAAGGACACCCTCTTTTACAATTCGAACTTGATTGGGGGATAGTGGTGGTTATTTGGATCGTGAACCGTGTACGATTTGTGTTTGCTGAGATAAAACTAAATAAGAGGAAGTTAGCTAACAGAGGGGGTTTAGTAGGGATTTAAGATGTAAAGAGATTCGATGACATGAAATTTCGAACTTGAAATTTAATCGATTTTGACATGTTACCAATCGATTAGAACAATTTTGATGCACAGTTTGAAATTTTCTGTTTAAGTCTATACCTGAAAGCATTGAGATAGAGATAGTGTCAGACATAGAATATCAACCGAATTGCAAATTACTCCTGATAAATAGAGTCCATCAAAATAAGAGAGAACACTACAGTAGAAAAGAACATCAACCCATACAAGATTGGACTTGGACACAAGACTGGATTAGGATTTTGTTGATGCAGATTGGATCATTAAGACATGATGGAGATTCGTTGCAAAGGTGATACAGATTTGAATTAGTTTTGATGTAGGCTTCACTTTTTGTAGACCTCATAACATGAGATGATGATGAAACTTCATGAGGCATGATAGAGACTTGGTAATAATTTTACTGCACATCTGATAAAAAATACTACAGAAATTTTGTACAGATTTAAAGGAGATTTGATGGAGCTAGGCCACAAATCCTAAAACCCCAAATATAGATTAAATGTAGTTTTGATGGAGACTAGTAATGTAGTTACTAAACTAAATGTAAATTAATGTAAAATAAATTTTATTAAGAAATGTAATTATTTATCATATAGTTTATCATATATCATTTCATTTTTAAGCTTTCATTTAAGATATATCTCACACCTTAACTGCCACAAATAAATCAAAAGTTAGTTTTTTTCAAAATCATTCTGTGTAATACTTTTTTTAATTTTTTTCCTGGGAAATTGTTTATAATGAACCGAAAATACATAATCCATAACCCGATTTAGAATAGTTACAATCATCTTTTAGTTAGAAAGTCGAAATCCCCAAAAATAACAAAATTGTGGATTTTCGTTACTAAACTTGATCATAACTCAAAAATTAAAGATGATGGAGAAAAATATTTTATATATAAATTGTTTATAATGAACCAAAAATACATAATCCATAACCAGAGTCAGATTATTTCTAATCGTATTATAGATGGAATGTCGGAATTCTTAAAAATATTAAAATTGTTGATTTTCGTTACTAAACTTGATCATAACTCAAAAATTAAAGGTGATGGAGAGAAACATTTTACATATAAATTGTTTATAATGAACCAAAAATACATAATCCATAACAAGATTCAGATTAGTTCTAATCGTATTATAGTTAGAAAGTCGGAATTCTTAAAAATATAAAAATTGTTGATTTTCATTACTAAATTTCATCATAACTCAACAATTAAAGATGATGGGGAAAAATATTTTATATATAAATTGTTTATAATGAACCAAAAATGTATAATCCATAACAAGATTCAGATTAGTTCTAATCGTATTATAGTTAGAAAGTCGAAACCCTTAAAAACATCAAAATTGATGATTTTCGTTACTAAACTTGACCACAACTCAAAAATGAAAGATGATGGAGAAACATATGTTACATATAAATTGTTTATAATGAACCAAAAATACGTAATCCATAACAATATTCAGATTAGTTCTAATCGTAATATAGTTAGAAAGTCGAAATCCTTAAAAACATAAAAATTGTTGATTTTCGTTACTAAACTTCACCATAACTCAAAAATTAAAGATGATCGAGAAAAATATGTTATATATAAATTGTTTATAATGAACCAAGAATAGATAATCCATAACAAGATTTAGATTAGTTCTAATCGTATTATAGTTAGAATGTCGGAATTCTTAAAAATATTAAAATTGTTGATTTTCGTTACTAAACTTGATCATAACTCAAAAATTAATGATGATGGAGAAAAATATTTTGTATATAAATTGTATATAATAAACTAAAAGTAAATAATCCATAATCAGATTCTGATTGCTTCTAATCGTATTATATTTAGAAAGTCGAAATCCTTAAAAATATTAAAATTGTTGACTTTCGTTACTAAACTTGATCATAACTCAAAAATAAAAGGTGATGGAGAAAAATATGTTACATATAAATTGTTTATAATGAACCCAAAATATATAATTTATAACAAAATTCGGATTAGTTCCAATCGTATTATAGTTAGAAAGTCGCAATTCTTAAAAATATCAAAATTGTTGATTTTCGTTACTAAACTTGATCATAACTGAAAAACTAATGATGATGGAGAAAAATATTTAGTATATAAACTGTATATAACGAACTAAAAATAAATAATCCATAATCAGATTCAGATTGCTTCCAATCGTATTATATTTAGAAAGTCTAAATCTTTAAAATTATTAAAATTGTTGATTTTCGTTACTAAACTTGATCATAACTCAAAAATTAAAGATGATGGAGAAAAGTATTTTATATATAAACTGTTTAGAATGAACCAAAAATGCATAATCCATAACCAGATTCAGATTAGTTCTAATCGTATTAGAGTTAGAAAGTCGAAATCCTTAAAAATATTAAAATTGTTGATTTTCGTTACTAAACTTGATCACAACTCAAAAATGAATGGTGATGGAGAAAAATATTTTGTATATAAATTGTAGGTAATGAACTAAAAATAAATGATCCATAATCAGATTCTGATTGCTTCTAATCGTATTATATTTAGAAAATCGAAATCCTTAAAAATATTAAAATTGTTGATTTTCGTTACTAAACTTGATCACAACTCAAAAATAAAAGGTGATGGAGAAAAATATGTTATATATAAATTGTTTATAATGAACTCAAAATATATAATTTATAACAAAATTCGGATTAGTTCTAATCGTATTATAGTTAGAAAATCGCAATTCTTAAATATATCAAAATTGTTGATTTACGTTACTAATCTTGATCATAACTCAAAAATTAAAGATGATGGAGAAAAATATTGTGTATATAAATTGTTTATAATGAACCAAAAATACATAATCCATAACCAGATTCAGATTATTTCTAATCGTATTATAGTTAGACAGTCGAAATCCCCAAAAATACCAAAATTATAGATTTTCGTTACTAAACTTGATCATAACTCAAAAATTAAAGATGATGGAGAAAAGTATTTTGTATATAAATTGTTTATAATGAACCAAAAATACATAATCCATAACAAGATTCAGATTAGTTCTAATCGTATTATAGTTAGAAAGTCGGAATCCTTAAAAAAATTAAAATTGTTGATTTTCGTTACTAAACTTGATAATAACTCAAAAATTAAAGATGATTGAGAATAATATTTTATATATAAATTGTTTATAATAAACCAAAAATACATAATCCATAACAAGATTCAGATTAGTTCTAATCGTATTATAGTTAGAAAGTCGAAATCCTTATTAAATCAAAATTGTTGATTTTCGTTACTAAACTTGATAATAACTCAAAAATTAAAGATGATTGAGAATAATATTTTGTATATAAATTGTTTATAATAAACCAAAAATACATAATCCATAACAAAATTCAGATTAGTTCTAATCGTATTATAGTTAGAAAGTCGAAATCCTTATTAAATCAAAATTGTTGATTTTCGTTACTAAACTTTATCATAACTCAAAAATTAAAGATGATGGAGAAAAACATTTTACATATAAATTGTTTATAATGAACCAAATATTCATAATCCATAACAAGATTCAGATTAGTTATAATCGTATTATAGTTAGAAAGTCGAAATCCCCAAGAATATCAAAGTTATTGATTTTCGTTATTAAAATTAATTATAACTCAAAAATTAATAATGATGGAGAAAAATGTTTTGTATATAAATTGTATACAGGGTGAGTCGGGAGGAACGGACCAAACTTTAGGAGTATATTGTACGCTTGAAAATAATGTAAAAAAACTTATATGTTGTTATCCGATTTTCTTTTATTTTATTTTTTTTTATTGCATAACTCTTACTGCATAACTACAATTAAACAAAATGTTATACATTAACATTAAATATTGGTCATCAGCGTTATTTTAGT